AGTCCTTCTCGCTCCCCTCCTGCCCGGCACCACCGGAGATCAGCAGCACGCCCACTTGCCCGCTGCCGCCGCCGGCGGCAACACCACCACGGCGCCGTCGCGCGATCCCCTCCGCATAGGTGCGTCGATCGATGATCTAATTCTAACCCGGCCCCATCACCGAAATGTGCTCTTTCTCTTACTTGCTACATTTGAATGGTTGATTGTTTTGCAGTTGTGCGTGCATCCGGCTCCGGCACCGGCGGCGGTGCGTCTCCGTCAGCCACGGCGGCGGCGGCGGCAGGCGATGATGCATCCACTCCTCCTCCTCCACAGCTTAGCCGTCCCAACCGTGACCTGCCTACCGTCCCATCTCCGCTTGACCATGAACCCGTGCCCACGCCACCATCGCCGGATTTCTTCCCCGATTCGGCGCTCCGCACCATCCCTGCCAATGCCATCGCCATGTCCGCAATATTGCTGCTACTGCTCATCGCGGCGACGCACTAGATATCGATCTATCTAGCTATAGCTTAATTGGTTCCTCCATTGGTTCACATTAATGGGGACTTAATTACTAAGATTTAAGCTTATGTTTCTACTAATACTTGTTTAGAAATTAATCAGTGCAGAGGCTGCACTTTAATTTGTTGTTGTCACCGTATAACGTGTTGTGCTTCCCCAATCTCTGTGTCGCTTTTGGTTTAGGCCTGGTTTAGTTCCCATTTTTTTTTCCAAAAACATAACATCAAATCTTTGGTCACCTAAATAGAGCATTAAATATAGATGAAAAAAAACTAATCACATAGTTCACACGAAAATCGCGAGGCGAATCTTTTGAGCCTAATTAGTCCATGATTAGCACAAGTGCTACAGTAACCCACATGTGCTAATGACAGATTAATTACGCTTAATAAATTCGTCTCGCGGTTTCCAGGCGAGCTATGAAATTAGTTTTTTTATTCGTGTCCGAAAACCCCTTCCAACATCCGGTCAAATATCCGATGTGACACTCAAAAATTTTCTTTTCGCGAACTAAACAAAGCTTTAGTTGTTTGTTTTATGTACTTACTATATGTATGCAATGTGCTCTCGCTTTATAATCATGCATGATACTGTGAGGATCTTTCAGTTGCTTAGATCGTTAAGTGTTGCTGAATTAATATTCCATATCGCAGGGGTTATGTAGCTGGAATGATGTTTAATTTGTTCGCTATTTGTAGCAGATTTTATGGCTGTGTACATCCTTTTGGATGTAGAGTTTGGGTTGTTTAATCCATTATCTAATAAAAAATTGTACAAGATTTCTAAATTATATACAATCCAAAGTTTTGAATTAAACATTATAAACCAAACCTTTTTAAAATTATGATTTTGATACTGAAGTTTAATTTAAAATGACATGTCATTTTTTATTATATGGAACTCCGTACGTATTAAGAATTTAATATAAAATTAAGGAACACCGGTACCATATATATTAGAATACAATAATTAGCTTTAATAGAATTTGACTACCATAAATGGTGTCTTACCACTCATAAGGTAAAAGCAAAGTTAGCCATTGGGTATTAAAAAAAAAGTTAGCCATTGGATCAATAGACAATTTGATGGTTCACAGTAACTTGATGTACCGTAAAATTGTCCTTGCAAGAAACAAAATGTATGATACAACTGCGTGCTCTGAACATGACACTATGCAACTGTTGAACCACGAGGAGCAGCAGAGTTAGGTGGTGTTTGGATCCATGGACTAAACTTTAGTCCTTGTCATATCAGATAAATTTGGAGTATTAAACATAGACTACTTATAAAACTAATTACATAAATGAGAGCTAATTCGCGTGACAAATTTTTTAAGCCTAATTAATCCATAATTAGCGCATATTTTCTGTAGCATCACATAGGCTAATCATGGATTAATTAGGCTTAATAAATTCGTTTCGCGAATTAGTCCAGGGTTATAGAATAAGTTTTATCAATAGTCTACGTTTAATATTTATAATTAGTATCCAAACACCTGATGTGATAGAGACTAGAAAATTTTAGTCCCATCTAAACAAGGTCTTACTAGCTGAAAGCTACTAACATATCCATGGAGGTTAAAAAGAAAAAAATAATAAAAAGAAGGGGAACACCTAACGTGCATGACTGCAAGGTGACCAGTTAGGGTTTTCAATTTCGATTTCGGCCATTTCGGCTCTACTGATATTCCAGAAATTTCGGTATTTTTTTAATCAATTTCATTGCAATCACTGATCGTACGTAGTGGGATCGATCACCTTGCAGTCATGCTGATTGGGCCTCTGCTATACGCTGCTCCTCGTGGCTGCAATGAGCAAGAGCATGCAGTAGTTGCAGCTAGAAATGCAGAGAGTATGTGGGCTATGTGCACATTGTCAGAATGAATCTCATGTTCAGAAAATTAAGTAGCTCACAACTTCATTCATGCATGACACAAAAACTTCATGCATTGTGCTTTCTCGATCGATTTGTTTCTTGCAACTAAGCTAAGAAAATATTTGAACCGTTAAGGATATGATGCTCCTGATTCCTGAAGTATACACAGATAGCTAGGCGACCAAACTCTCGTACATGATGTTAATTTGTTTCATGCTCTGTGATCGTGCCTGTGTGAGCCTTCCTGTAGTACACGGAAAATTAAACTCAAACTAAAATCCTGGTGTTCTAAAAAAAACTACTCCCTCCATCCCAAAATGTTTGACGCTTTTCTCTCAAAAAAAATGTTTGACGCTGACTTTTTTAAAAATGTTTGACCGTTCATCTTATTCAAAAAATTTAACTAATTATTAATTCTTTTCCTATCATTTGATTTATTGTTAAATATACTTTTATGTATACATATAGTTGTACACATTTCACAAAAGTTTTTAAATAAAACGAACGGTTAAACATGTTTAAAAAAATCAATGGCGTCGCCGCGTCGGGAAGGAGGGAGTAAAATCCTGGCCTGTTCTTTTTTTTTTGTTCTCAAAATTAACTGGCCAGCCCTGTAATTTGGAACTTATAATTTGAACCAAACCAACACATAAACAGGAACTGAGAGACACCATGCGTACATGAATTAATTAACTGAGATGGATCACTAAGCAAGCACATTGCATATAGAAGAACGAAACTAATTGAACCAAACGCTACGAAAAGTGGGAGAGACAGCACAAACGGCTGCAACAAATCGTCCCCACCATGGAATCAATTAATGGAGGAACTAGCTAGCGCGCCGCCGCCGCGACGAGTAGCACTGTGGAGAAGACGACGGCCGCGGCGGCGGTGGTGGCACGGACGAGCTCGCTCGCCGGCGGCGCCTTGGAGTACGGGTACGGCGTGGTGGGCAGGGGTCCATAGTAAATCCATGATTGGTGAGTAGTAGGCAAGCCACTGCTGTCCGGACGATCAAGCTGACGAGGAGTGGGCAGCAGTGCAGATTCAGACTCATTGCCGGCCATCGCCACCGCCGCCGACGCCGCCGCCATGGCCTCCGGAGTCGCGCCGCCGGCCGCCGCTCCAGCTGGACACATATATATACCATGCAAATGTCGTAGTAAGGGACATGCATTTGATTAATTTCGATCCTCATTTTGGTGATGGTCGAGTTAGTTAGATCAGTAGCAGTGAACTAGTGATAGTGTGTATTAGTGTGACGTAGTACATATGCAGAGGGGATCGCACGGCGCCGCCGTGGTGGTGCCGACGATGGCCGGGTGGTCTGCCACGGCGGTGCGCCGAGGCGGCTGCTCCCCGGCGGCGATGCCGGTGGCCAGGAGGAGGAGGAGGAGGAAGCAGCGCTCCATAGGTGACTGAGGGAATTAAGGCTCAAAGGCTGTAAGAGAGTGTGTGATGGATGGATGGTAGCCAAGTAGGGAAAAGGCAGGTATGAGTTATATACAAGAGAGGAAGCTGCTGATAGTTAGGTAGGCGTACTTGTTGCATGCTCATGCATTGCTCGATGCCTCGATCGATTTGCTTCACCGTTTGAAAATTTTCATTTTCTCACAAAATTTTCATATTCATTTTTGTCATAAAAAATTGCTTATATCGCATTGGGCCTGTTCGACAGCCAGGACAGCCAGGGCTGAAGCAGCCGCAGCCCGGGTTCAATCTTCGTTTTCGGTATTTGTATCGGAGGTGCCCATATGGCAAAATTTCAATCCGAAATTATGAACAAAATTTAGTAAAATTTGAACAAATATTACTAAAATTCATGAAAAACTAAAAAAAAAATTCAGCCAAAATAATATCGTATCGAAAGGGTCCGAAATGACCGAGATTTCGGAAATTTTAGTTTTGAATCCTAGCCGAAGTCGCAGCCCGCTGCTTCCTCCTATATGTGACTATTGGTGGTGCTGGTTTTAGAATCCAATAACGCAGAAGTCACTGAAAACTTTCATACATGTCACATATATACTTGGGGAAAATATGTAGTGCAAACCACATATGTAGTGTAAACTTGGAAACTACCGTTGGATCGAGAAATGGACGTCCAAGATTCGTCCACGTCACCATGAGTTAAAATTTAACTCGTAGATTCACTCATGAGTTAAAATTTTACTGGGTGTTAAATTTTAACTCATGGTGACGTGGACGAATCTAGGACGTTCATTTCTCGATCCAACGGTAGTTTCCATGTTTCCACTACATATGTGATTTGTACTACATATTTTCCCCATATATACTCTCTATCCCAAAATAAATACATATTCCCTTTGTGCAATACCAAGAAAAATTTATTGATTAACTTATTTTAAGAAAAACTAAGGATAGGAACAATAGATGTCTAATTAATTATTCCCTCTGTTTCAGGTTATAAGATGTTTTAACTTTAGTCAAAGTCAAATTACTTAAAGTTTAACTAAGTTTATAGACAAATATAGTAATATTTAAATTACCAAATTAGTTCCATTAAATTAATAATTAATTATATTTTTATAATAAATTTATTTTGGGTTGAAAATATTACTACTTTTTTCCTATAAAGTTGGTAAAACTTAAAACAGTTTGTCTTTGTGTAAAGTCAAAACATCTTATAACATGAACGGAGGGAGTATAAGACAAGCTTTGAACTCTTAGCTTGTAATGAACCTATACAATTACAAAACCACTCATAAATATTGACTCATATGTGCTAATTCATTTAAAACCGACAAATTCTTCCTCCTCCGTGGAATGAAAATATATGGAATCAACACCTTTGAGTAACTTGTAGTCGGTAAGTACACGGTAAGCGCAATTAAGATCGTGTGCAAGAACTTGTAGTCGATCTTCTACACGCTGAGGTACAAGTCGATCTGCAGGACGGCGTTGTTGGTGGTGGCGTTGAAGGAGTGCGTCCTGAGGAGGCCGTACCCGGCGGCGCCGCGGAGCACGCCGGCGCCGCCGACCACCGGCAGCTCCCTCACCTCGTCGAGGATGGCGTCCCTGGCGAGCACCGACACGGCGCCGCCGCGGTGCACCCCCGCCGTGAACTCCATGGTGGCGCTGAACAGCAGCGCCGAGTCCGTCCGCGACGAGAACATGTAGAACCCCCTGGCGCGCCCCACGGCGGCGGACGACGCCGCGTCGGCGCCGTCCGTCAGCGGGTCGTCGATGGCGTACAGGTCTCCGAACCGGTTCACCGCGTCGCCCGGCAGCGCCGCCGCCGCCACGCCCCTCACCACGCGCACCGCCGTCGCCGCCGGCCCGCCCCCTGACGCCGACGCGGTCACCGTGTCGTGCATGTAGAACCGCGTGTGCGTCGTCGTCGTCGTTGCCGTGCCGACCATGGCGACGGCGACGGCGACGGCGAGCGCCAGCTGCAGCAGGAGGGGCATGGCTAGCTAGCTAGCTAGTGGTGGTTCGACGTCGAACGTTCGATCGGTGGAGACACCTTTGTAATGGTGGATGGCGCCATTGGCACTATTGAGATGGTCCATCAGCAGATGAGTATGTGAGATTCACAAATAGAATTTAATAATTTTTATGTTCTTTTTATGCTGTGTGAGTTGTGCTTTTATTTATTCATGTGTGAGTTTTTGTTGAGTTGGTGTAATAATTGGCTGTAACTTTTTGAGCAAAGACCGGGATTATATTATATTCTATTATCTTAAAAAAAAGATGAGTATGTGAGATGTGCGGTGGTAGAGGTTGACAGGACAGTAGCTTTGATATGCTTTATGCATATGATGATCAGTGCGAATTAAGCAAAAGCTTGGGGCCGGGTGTACTGTGTCGGGGCATGTCGAAATCGGAGGTTGGTGATCGATTGGATCGGTGGTGTTGGATTGATTTGTTGGAGGAATATCGAGGGTAGAAATGCGTGGCAATTCTTCCATCTCTCATGGTTGTCGATTTTCTTTCCGAAAATCTCCGCGTCCTTTGAGGAATTGAGGGTGAGTACAGGTTAAATTCGAGAGAGGATTCAAGATTTGTGTCATGCTCCACTGTTCTCCACTCAGGCTGTGTTATTAAGTTCAAGTTCCCAACCTCGTTCTTTTGTTTACCACGCGCACGTTTTCTAAACTGCTAAACGGTATGTGTTTTATAAAAAAAAAATTATATAAAAAAATTACTTAAAAAATCATATTAATTCTTTTTAAATTTTTTAACAATTAATTAATCACACATACTAATTTTTCGTGTCGGGGTGAGGGTTCCCAACCTTCACCTAAGAACGCAGCCTCATCTAGAACTTCGGAACTACCTATATATTTTGTGACGAATTTTCTTCAAAAAATTTTTCAGATATAAATACAGTATAATCGTGGTATAATTGTTAGCAACTTTTTTTGTCATGCCGCCAAAACACATAAAAGTTAAATACAAGTTACGATGTAATTATATTATGATTGTACTATGTTTACACATGTTAAATTTTTGAAATAAAATTTATCGATAAATAGGCCCCGTTTGGTAAGGCTCCAAATTCTAACTCCCAGCTCTAAACTTCTACTCTAGTTAGAGCTAGCTCCTGTTGGAGTTGCAGACCCATCAGAAATATTTGGTAACCTTCTAGCTCCAGATCTGAAAAAAATTGAAAAAAAAAAGAAAATAAAGAATCCCCGTTGCCAGCCGGCTAGCCCGCACGCCGCCGCCAGCCCCCGCTCCGCCACCAAGCCAGCGCGCCACCGCCAGCCCCCGCTCCGCCGACCAGCCCGCGCGCCGTCGGCCAGCCCACGCGCCGTCGGCCAGGCCACGCACCGCCGCCGAGCCCCCGCGCCGCTGCCACCTGCCCGACCGTCGTTGGTTGCCGCCGGCGCCAGCGCTGCCAGCCCGCCCGCCGCAGGATCTTGCCGGAGAAGACGGGAGGAGAGAAAATGTGAGGAGGAGTTTTGGGGTAGTTCAATGGCATTTTTGTGTAAATACATCAAAAATTTAAAGGGTAGTAGATCTTTTGGGGTGGAGTAGAGCTGTGGAGCAGCAAAAACCCAGCTCCACCCCCGTAGTACAAATTTATGGAGCTGCTCTGTGAACTCCGCTCTAGAAAACAGAGAATTTGTACCGTTTGGCACAGCTCCAGCTCTAGGTAAGTTAAAGTTGGGAGCTGAAGCTATGCCAAACGGGGCCTATATAGCCAAATTGGTCGCTGATTGGGCTAAGTAGACTCTCTACTCTAGGCCGATGGGCTTTGACAGTTTCTGGGTCGTTCTCACTTAGGCTTGTTAGGTTCAATGTGGGCTGCAACTTGATTGGCCTACGTAGGCTCTAGTTGGGCTACTTTTGTGTGGGACATATCAAGGGCAGTTTTCATGTGGGCCAAAAGTTTTCATCTTTTGGCGTATGCAATTTTCAACCACAAAACCATGTATAATATCTCCCCAAGTTCTAAAACAGTGCAAATAAACTCTTTGATGGTTTAGAAAGCAGTTTCTACTGACATCATAGGTCGACCGCGCTCAGACTATACGAATTAGCATGGGTGCGATCAGAACCCGTCACCGCGTCCAATCTCAACGTGCATGTTACTCCCTCCGTTTCATATAAAATCTTACATTGTGAAACGGAGCAATCTACGTTGCTAGCCGGAAGAGCTCCTAGATCGATCCCCGTTGCTAGGCCCATCTCCGTAGCCCAGTGTCGGCCTCACTGTGGGGATTTTAATGTTGACGGCCGCTTGTGATCTCTCGATCGGCTTGGCAGCCTTCCACCTCAGCCGTCTATGGGCGCAGCCGCCTTCGTAGTCGGGTCTCCGTCCCTTGCTGCTATGCTGCTCTCGTTTGGTCATTAACAATTTACACAGATCTAGCTTTAATCATGTTTTAAACATGTAGCTTTGAGTGGTATAGACTGGCTGAACAAAGAAGGATTGAAAGTGATTTTCACGAGGGTTCCTGTCGGTTGATCAGAGCTACTAACTTTCAGACAATTTTTCCTTTTTTGGTAGCCAGTAGCCATAGACAGACACCTGGGATAAAGAAGGAGATGATGAGATGGACACTGATCAACGAATTTTCAACGTTCTTTGGGAGTCACACAGAATCAAGCTAGGATGATTGATTAGAAGATGAGAGAGACAAAAATAAAGTATGTCTTGGATAGTGGATACCACGTTTCTCCAATGATTTTCCTTTTAGGCACACACATAAAACCATCCAGAAATGACATCGGGAGTAGTAGAGTTTGTGGTAGAGAAAGCTTGAAATAATAAGGGGATTCTTTAAACTTCGATGAAATCTAATTGATGGAGAAATTAAAAAAAAATAATCATATTTTGACTTAAAACCGGATCTGCATGTACAAAATTAAAACCTCATGCCATCCGTTTAAATATAATTTAGGAATTGCTATCTAACATGTGATAGAAAATTGGTCATTCTCGTGCATGCAGGATTGTTGAGATTAAAAATCAAGCATACGCGGATGTCTGTGTATCGTAGACACAACCTGCGGGATGCCGTGGCATGTCTCCACCACTCAGCCTTAGTCTTTTTTCCGAGTTACATGGCCAGTTACATCTATGTAACTAATTTATATATATTGTAATTATATTATGATTATGATTATAATTGTACTGTAGTTATATTTGATAGATTTTTAGAGGATTTCTGTCAATATGCTGGTTAGACATTCCCTTTAAATTTTGCAAGCAATTTCATTATATTGCACGCATTACTTACTTTCAAGTTGTTTCATAATTTTTTTAAGTATATTGCACCCACGGTATAACAACTTGGCGGGTGTGTGCGATACAGTGCAAGAACTTGAGAATTAAACGTTCGAGTGCAACAACTTGACAAATGAGTACGTTCTAGTATAAGAACTTGACAATTTAGTTTTTGGTGCATCAACTTAACTGAGCATATGCTAGGTGAGTTGTTTTCAGGATGTCAATATGCCATTACATAGCAATCATACGGATATTACCTAATAATATTGAATTTAATCTTTAAAAATTATACACATCCAATTTACATCAATTACCTTTAAGATTTTTTTGTTTTCTTTACCTTCCCAAATCTCAACCGAAATTAATTTCTACATCCAGTTTAATTGACTTTCAATTATTAGTTATTCAGATAAAAATATAAATATGCTTATATACACATCGACGCTAGTATATCGGTAAAATAAGTACTTAAAAATTGAATATGTATAAAAAAAGTGTTCTAAATAATTAAGTTGCCGCATAACTTCTTAACTTATTTTATCAAAATCGTATATATCTTGTAAGTTGTTGTATTTATGTGATCACTTATACAGTTCTTATACTAAATTGCACCTACTTGCCAAGTTGTTGCACTGGAACAATCATTTCTCAAGTTGTTGAACCAAATTGCACATATCTACCAAGTTGATGCACCGTGGGTGCAATTTACTCATTTTTTAAGGGAAAAGTACATTGTTTCATACGTTTAAAGGCTATTTATATAAGATTTTTCTCAAGGAAGGGTTTTGCATTACATGGAATTTGCCTGATAGATTAATCTGTGGCTGCAAGCATTTGACTGTGAATATACCGCCTTAAGGATAGGTATGTATTAATTTCTAAGGATATGTACTCCCCCGTCCCATAATAATATAAGAGATTTTGGAGGGATGTGACACTTTATAGCACTACGAATTTGGACAAAAAGCTTGCCTAGATCTATAGTACTAGAAAATATCCCATCCTTCTAAAATCCCTTATATTTTGGGACGAAGGGAGTATGTTTTAATTATTTCTTCCTCTCGTACGTACACATCGGTGCACAACTGCACATGTCAGAATATATATTCAGCCAGGCATCAGCCATACCGCTGGTATAATGAAGACATTGCCTAATGTGATTGAGATAAGAGTGATAGATTAATTCATGTTCTAGCTAAGACTTCATCCGTCCTATAAAAACCAACATATGATGAGATGTGACATTTCTTAGTACAATTAATCTTGACAGGGGCATGTCCAGATTTATTGTATTAAAAAATATCACAAATTCTTATCACACATCCTGTTCTGAAGGTTGGTTTTACGTGGCACATGGAGAGTACGATATTTTACTCTTTCTCTCTCACTACTACTCTCATTTTCTCATTCATAGTATATGTCTACATATGCATATCATGTCATGTCATTCGTGCATGTACATATAAGTTTTTGCTTGCTCATTTGCACGCTTTCTCCCTTTTTCATAGTGTATGTCTACTCATGCATATCATGTCATGTCATTCGTGCATGTCCACATAAGTTTTTGCTTGCTCATTTGCATGTTTTCTCCCCTTTTCAAATGTTTTTTCTTTCAACATAATTATCCATTATATCATTTGATTACACTATTGTATTCCTTACACTTAAATCTTTATAACAATATATCACACAATTATATTTTGATAAAAAATCAAATATTGTTTCACCCTTTAAAGAAAATTGTTCATTGTATAAAGTGTTTCAAAGAAATACAACAATTAAAAATACCGAGTGCAATAACAGTAACCACCTATACGAAACATTGAGTCCCAAAGAGCGGAAAAAAGTCATATTTATATCACATAGTAATATTACATATTGAAACAATATAAAATACTCTCTTAAACATTCCAAAAGACCAGGTGCAACATTCGCAAGTTAACTAGTGCAACATCATATATATTCTAT